ATTGACCATTTAGTATTCTTGGGGGTTTTCAAAGTATTTGCACCACTTTACACTCCCATCAGAAGCACGTAAGAGTTTCACTTGTCACACATGCACACACACACACACACACACACACACACACACACACTGTGAGTTACTTTTCCACTCTTACTTAAGGATGTGTTTTGATAAACAGAAATTCTTAATCCAAAATCACTCTATTTTACCCCCTTTCTGGCTTGCATTTTGTACTTTGGTGTCTAGTTTAGGAAATCTTTGCCAACTTCAAACTGATCATGTCTTTATTAATATTTCCTGCTAAATTTTTTCTATTTTAATCCTTTTACATTTAGATCTGTAATCCAACTGTAATGATTTCTTTGTATATGAAATGAGGACATGGTCAGGTTGTGTTTCTCCAGATGGTTGTCCACTTGGCCTAGTGCTATCTGCTGACAGGTACACGGTAGTAGCACTTTGTTCATAAAGGAGTCATTGTATATGTGTGGGTCTGTTTTCTTGCATCTCTAACCTGTGACATTGGTCTGTTTTGTCAGTTCTTGCACAAATAACACTCCTTCTTATTTACTATAGCTTTATAATAGCTCTTGATATCTGGTAGTCTAATTTTTCAAGTTTTGTTCCTTTTTATTAAGGGCTCATGGCTACATTTGACCCTTTGTACTCTTCATATATATTTTAGAAGTATCTTGCCAAATTCTTCAAGAAAATAAGCCTGCTGGGAATATTTTGCTTTTTGTTCCCAAGTAACTCAGTATATCACAGCACAAAATTAAGAATATTAGTAGGAGTACAAAAATATGCAGTACCTCAAAATGTAAAGTGCACAATGCCTGGCATCTAATCAAAGATAACAGGCATGCAAAGAGACAGGAAAATATGACCCATGATGAAGAGAAAATTCAATGAACAGAAACAAATCCCAGTATTACAAATCGGCAGACAAATATATTAAAGAATTGTTATAACTGTATCCTCACGCTTATTTATTTTTTAACATATTTTTCAATGAAGTATATAATATTGATATACAATAGATATTGGTTTCAAGTACACAACATAGTGATTTGACAGTTATATACATTATTAAATGCTTATCCCAACTAGTGTATCTGTCAACACAGAAAGATGTTACAGCACTGTGTTCTCTATGCTGTACTTTCATCCCCATGACTAATTTATGTTATGATTGAGATTTTGTTCCTCTTTATCCCCTTTACCTATTTTACCCACTCACCCAAGCCCCTTCCTCATGGTAACCATTAGTCACTTCTCAGTGTCTATAGGTCTATTGCTATTTTGTTTGTTTTGTTTTTAGATTCTACATATAAGTGAAATCATATGCTATTTGCCCTTCTCTGCCTGACTTATTTCATTTAGCATAATTCCCTCTAAGTCTATCCATGTCAAAAATGGTAGGATTTCTTTCCTTTTTGTGGCTGAATAATATTCCATTGTATATATGCACCACCTTTTCTTCCATTCATCTATTGATGGAGACTTTGGTTGCTTCCGTATCTTGGCTATTGTAAATAACGTGGCAGTAAACATAGAGGTGTATATATCTTTTTGAGTCAGAGATTTTTTTTTTTTTTTGTAAATTCCTCGAAGTGGAATTACTGGGTCCTATGGTATTTCTATGTTTAGTTTTCTTGAGGAACCTCTATACTGCTTTCCATAGTGGTTGTACCAATTTATACTCCCACCAACAGTGTAGGAGGGCTATCCTCACATGTTTAAACTTAAGTAGAAATGAGGAAGATATAAAAATATCCAAATAAAACTTAGAGAGATAAAATACCTATTTCTGTGTTGAAAAATACAATGGATATGATTAATAGCAGATTAGACATTATAGAAGATAAATGAGAGTGAACATGTAACAGTGAATAATTCATAATGAGACAGAAGGAGAAAAGAAAAGGAAAACAGTGAGCTCTGGGGAAATTCAAGCAGCCTAGTGTGTAACTGTCCAAAGGCAAGTTTTTAAAGCTTAAATGTCTTTAAAGGCTAATTGGCTCTTACACCAAAATAATTCCAACAGAGTGTGGGGTTTATAATATATGGAAAAGTAAAATGTATGATTACAAACACATAAAGACAGGAGGGTATAAATGGATAAGTATCATACTATTGTAAGGTTTCCATAATCTATACTTGAAGGTAGACTGCATTATGTTGAGATGTACACTACAAATCCTAAAGCCACCACTAAAATAACAAAACAGAACAAGCTAATTAACCAACAAAAGAGATAAAATGGAATTATTATAAAATGCTCAATTAATCCACAAGAAGGTATAAAAAGAAGGATTAAGGAACAGAGAACAGATGGAACTAATAAAAAACAAATAGCAAGATGATAGACATGAATGTAACCAGATCAGCAATCACATAAAACCAAAATAGTCTAAATGCCCTAAATAAAAAGCATAGATTGTGACATTGAATGAAAAAAGAAAAAAACCAACCATATGCTACCTACCGGAAATGTGCTACAAATATAACGACTCAGAATGTAAAAAGTGCAAGGGTGGAAAAGATTTACCATGCTCACACTAATCAAAAGAAGTAATATTAATATCAAAGAAAAATTCAGAGCAAGGAGTATTGTCTGAGATAAAGAAGGTCGTATACTAATGATAAAAGGGGCAATCTCTCAAGAGGACATAACAATCATAAATATTTATGCATCTAAAAAATAGAGCTTTAAAATGCTGAAACAAAATGGGTAAAACTGCAAAGAGAAATAGACATATCCACAATCACAGTAGACTTTTATATACCTGTCAGTAACGGATTGCGCAAGTCGGCAAAAAAACAAATGAGGAAGGATATTGAAGATATGAACGACACTACTTCACTTAACAGCAGTTAGAATACGGGTTCTTTTCAAGTGCACACTCGCCACACACCGGATGGACTGCAGACTCCAGGTACAAAATAACTATCAATACATTTACGAGTTCAAGTCATAAAAAGTGTGTTCTCTGACCACAGGGACACTAACTTAGAAATTGTTAACAAAAAGATCTCTGGAAAATTCCCAAATATTTGAATTAAATTACAATATTCTAAATAGCCCAGAGGGCAAAGAATAAATCAAAAGGGAAATTATAATGTGTTCTCAACTGAATATAAATGAAAGTGAAAAATTGGTAGGATGTTACTAAGGCTGTATTTAGTGGGAAAACTGAAGAGTAGGGATTAAATTCCCTACTCATCCTGAGGGCAGCACTGCTCTGTTACCAAAGTCACACAAAGATATTGCAAGAAAAGGAAACTACAGACCACTATCCCTCATGAGCACACATTAATAATCCTTTAAAGTTTTCAGTATATTGAATCCCACAACATCTAACAAGGGTAGCACATCACAACCAAATGGAGTCGATCTCAGTAATACTTTACATTTCACATTGTTTTTTTTAACATTTCAATTTAACATTATTACTTATATTTTAACATTCAAAAATTGTCAGTATAACCTACCATATAACATACTAAAAAAGGAAAAATATATGATCATCTCTATAGGTACTCAAAAAACATTGGATAGAATCCAACATCCATTTTGGTGAAAACTCAGCAAATTAGGAGTAATCAGCAACTTCCTTCCCCTAATAAAGGGCATGTATGAAAAACCTACTGCCAATAGAACATTTGTGCAGGCAGACTGTAAGTTACAGATGCATATTGTAGTCCTGAGTGTGAACACTAAAAGCACAAAGAAGAGAAAAGTAGTCTTTTCAACAAATGGTGCTGGAAAAACTGTATCCATACAGAAAACATAATGAATCTCAATCCTTGTCTCATTCCATAAACCAGGAGGACGAACTAAAGCCTCCAGGCCCAATGTGGCCTCTGCCTGTTTTCATATGGCCCAGAAGCTAACCATAGTTTTATATTTTTAAATGGTAAAAAAAAAATAAAAAGAATCATATTTTGTGACATATGACAATTATACAAAATGCGGATTTAGTATCCCTAAACAAAGTCTTTTGGAACACAGACATGCTCATTCATTTATGTATTGTCTCTGGCTACTTTTGGCAAAGCTGAGTGGTTGGAAAAGAGACTGGGTGTTGCTCAAAACCAAAAATAATTACTATCTGACCCTTTACAGAAAAGCTTGCTGAGCCTTATCGTGAACAAAAATTAGTATAAGATGGATCAATTCTCCATGAGCTATTAAGCTTCTGAAAGAAAACATGGCAAATTCTCCTCATAATCTTGGGGAAGGCAAAGATTTCTTAAAGAGGATGGGAAATGCTCTAATCTTTAGTACATTTTTCTATCAAAATTCGAAAGTTTTTTTCATCTAAAGATGTTGAGAAAATTATGTATATAGCTATATTTAGATAGATATCTGAGAGAGGGTATGTATTCATAATGTAAAGAATTCCTGCAAATCAATAATCAAGAGAGGAAATGCAGTTTTTTTTTAAAAGAGCAAAAAATTTGAGCAGGGTGTTCAAAAAAAAGGAAATATGTATGTGAGTAGGGAGTTCCCTCTGCATGGGATTGAGGGGTCTCTTTCCCTAGTCGCTTGCAGGATATCCTGGCTGGTGGAAGTCCACTGTCGGCCCTCTCCGGGAATTACGGTGGGCTCAAGAGAGCTCTTGCCCCTGCCCAAGGGTCCGCCCCCCTTCCCAGGGCAGCTGGCGCCTAATTACTGTCTGGTATCCCCTTTCCTAGCACACTGATTGATGAGATTTAGAATTCTTATTCCCTTTTTGGAGACATGTTTGCTTCATGCACCCCTCACTACCACATGCAAGGGTGAGCTGCAGAAGGGTTTTATTGGAACAGTCATCAAGTCAGCAAGAGCCGGGCTGTGTCCTCGCCACCCTGACATCTAATGCACTGGCCCGCTCGGGCCGCTTGAGGGCACTGTGGATCCACTGAGTGAGTCGCTGACCGCTCCCGGGAGAGAAAGGGTTAAGGGACAGTCTAGGCTCGGTCCTGGCAGGAGATTACTTGGTGACTCATTTGGTGTTGGCATATAGAAGGGTTGATCATAGACTTCTCACATTAACTGATCTGCTGGTGAGTTTGTCACAGCGGGAAGCCATGAACTTGGCCTTGTGTGGAGTAAAGGCCTCCCTTGGGGCCTGCATTTGGTGGAGAGAGGGATGAGACTTCTGTGGGGCAGCCTAGATAGTCCCAGGCAGGTGTAGAAAAGGGAGGCCTGCTCTAAGGAAAAGAGGGAAGTGGTGGGGGCGGCCACCTGGCCCTTAGCCCGCCCAGCGGGCTCAGCACAGCCCCCTTCACCGGCTCAGTGGGCAGAATGGGGGAGGCCTGGGTCTGCTGAGCCTGCCTGTGGGAGTCTACGAGGACACTGACATCAGGACTATGATGTCGCAGGCAAACCCTCCAAACAGAGGAATGAGAGGAGCCAAGCATCTTTCCTCTCTCCCCAGAGACCAGAGCCCCGAGCAGGAAGATGCCCAGCCTCGTCCTGCATAAGTCGGCAGGCAGCACCCAGCTCCTCTGCTGTGTGGCCCTCTATCTCCTGGGGGCAGGTGAGTCCTGGGCTCAGGTGGCCTGTCCCTTGAACCCAGAGCTGCTGACTGCTGCTGGAGTATCAGCCTCGTGGCTGTGCTAGGTCCCGAGCTTCTGTAGCCTTCCTCCACAGGTGCGGTGGATGCTGGAGTCACCCAGTCCCCAGGATACCTAATCAAAGGCAGGCTGGGCAAGGCCACTCTGAAATGCTCTCCCATCTCCGGACACAACAGTGTGCTGTGGTACCAGCAGGCTCGGGGGCAGGGCCCCCAGTTGCTAGTGGAGTATTATGAAAGGATGCAGAGAGCCAAAGGAAACTTCACTGACCGCTTCTCAGGTCAGCAGCTCAGTGACTACAGCTCTGAACTGGACCTGAGGGACTTGGAGCCTGGGGACTCAGCCTCGTATCTCTGCGCCAGCAGCTGGAGCACAGCCCTGCAGAGTGACTGGCTTTCTGTATGCAAACCTTCCTGACCCAGCGAAGGGTGTCAGAGGGAGAGGCCTTAGCCAAGTTCCACGGAGGCTTCTAGTTCTCTTCTAACGTCCTCCCTTGCCCCGCTGAGCTCAGCTCGAGGGCTCCTCAACACTGGGGCTGGAGATTCACAGAATGTTCTCACAGCTCCTAACCAAGGGCCAGCGCTCCTACACTGTGCCAGAGCACAGGTGTGCATCATGTGATTTATTGCAAGGTAGACATTCGTATTTTGGATGAGGAAGATCTCAAATACCATATTATGGACGGGAAGCTATAGCTAGTGGACTTTCCAAATATTTCCTATTTAAAGTGTACATCTCAATGCCTCCAAATCAGCATTCCCCTAAAATGCCGCCGTGTTTCCTGGGCCTCGGTCAGTGACGTGTAGCGGAGCACCACCTCTGCCATTTCAGGACCGGCTGAGCTCAGGTGGGGCGGTCACACATCACGATGCGTGGCTACTGTAGCTTATTGCCTGCCAACTTCTAGGACACAGAGCTTCAAGCCAGAGAAGGTGCGTTCATTCTGGTATAGTTGCATACAGAGTGGGGGCCTTGATATCCCCCTAATACAGGAGCCACATCACTTGGGGGATTTCCAGTCTATCAAAGGTTCAGCCAGGGAAACTAGGAATTTCAAATAAAAGGGAGTTCATAGAAGGAATCAGTGCTCCTAAACCTCTGGATGGGCTGGAGGAGGGAGGGTTGCCAAAGGCTGCAGCCTGCTCTCAGGTTCACCACTTTCAATCACAAAAGCTGAAATTGCTACTTCTGCCCAGGTCAGTAATGGCAGAAAAGAGCTGGGAGTCACAGCTATTAAATGTACGGTGATAGCCATTTACAGACCACATGTACAAGCCTGCTGGTGAACACGGGCCATTTTAATTCTACTCCTTTGATGTGAAGTCATAGAAAATTCCCTTCTTTTTTGCTCATTTTCTCTGTGCTACCTGCTTAAATACATGATTTCAATTCATTTCCTTAAGAACCATGTGAGATAAAACAATGTATCCACAATCGTGAATAAAACGATTGTTAGAGGCTTCAGATAATTTGCTAAGGAGAGAGACACTGCTGGTATAGGAGTTCAAACACAGGTTGTGTCTTCTACCCATGCTTTAAATTGCTCCATTCATCTGTATTCTGGTAGGGGGCACATCATTAACCCCAAAATTCCATTCAGAAACACTGGCTCTGACATAAATCATTTGCACATCTTCTACCTGGGAGGCTACATGATAAGGAGAAAAGAATTCCGACTTTGGAAACCTCTGCCCATTTATTTTCTGACCTGCCTTAGGTGACTTGGAAAATATTTGGCGGAGTTTTCTCATTTGAAAACTGAGACCAATAGTACATGCCTTGCAGAGACTTTATGCAAAATAATAATAATAGGACAAATTGCTTACCACAAAAGTGTAGGCTCGAGAAATCTTAGTTTCTATTTAATGTGTAGTCTAGCACAATTATTAACTATGTGCAATTCTGGGACCAAAGGCAAGCCAGGAGTACTTTTGCCTGACTCACCTATGTTCCAGACACAAAGTCATGGAAAATACAAATACAGTTTCTATGTGAAATAAACTACAAAGAGCTGCATCTTAAGGGAAAGTGAAAATGGGACTCAGGACAGCACTTCCTGTTTGATAGTAAGTCTGATATGCAGGAAGGTGTGGTGCTCCCAGAAAGCTGGGGCTTCAGAGCCATTGACGATCATACAAACAATCAGAAGAAGGGACGGTTTCATTTGAAGAGACGCCATCATGCTGGAGCCTCCAGTGCCTTCCGTCCCATCCTCGCCCATCTCTGATTTCAGTCTCAACGGTACTGGACAGTTGTGAGCACATCTGGGCCCATCCACCTGGTGCTGGCGTGTGCCCTGGGAGTCCCTTGCTGTCTGCCCCCAGGCCTTCTGGGAAGTCAGAGGACCCCACTTGGCCTGTACCCAAGGGCAGCCAAAGATGAAAGGATGCTCATGTTCCGAGTGGGAACCAGGGGCTGGTAGTTCTGGATCTGTGTGCAGGGGGACAATTCAGGAAGGCATTCTGTGTGCTTCTCAGAAGGTGCCTGTGAGACCCACTTCCCGCTGCCCTAGCACAGCCTCAGAATAATACCATTATCCTGTTTTTGCCCTTCCTGCTTCATTCTTGCTGCTCCCGGCCAGCAACAGAATCAAGTGGCCATCAGAAGACCCGTGCCTTTGGAAGACACTGCCATTTATCCCTCACCCATGCTGCCATCCTTTCATTCAAAAAGTCTCCTAATAACACATATAAGCAAATCTTTTCTCAGTTCATTTTTGGTTTATTTTGAATTCCCAGCAGACTCACATGGGTCCCGACTCCCATCAAGCTCTGGACCTATTTGTAGCTGGATAGACAAGGGTTGTGCTTTCAGAAGTAAATCTGCCTGGACTCAGATAATCATTCACTCCTTTCTCCATTCATTCAACAAGTACTTATTAAATGCAGGTGCAGAGTAGATGCATGTTTTCTGGGACCTAAGCCTTACTAAAGATTAGGGTGCTCTTTGAAAAAGAGAATTAAAAAAAAATTAAAGTCTTGGAAAAGTCCTGTGCAAATGAGAAGGCTGGAAGCTAGGCCTCACCGGCCTCACGGCCAGTCCGCGCTGCACTGTTTACCACGTGGGGGCAGTGCTCCAGCCGCCGGGAAACACCACCACCAGGGGAACAACACCAACCCCAAACACAGCTTCAAAAGGAGGCAGGTTTTCTCAGCAACACCAAATGTGTGACTCAGTAACTCACTAATTTAAAAATGAATTAAAAAGCATATATTCCAGGTACATGCTTATCTCCCTAATGAAATTAGGGTATTGTTGAGAATACTAATATGGGTAGATCATACTTCATTATGAGAACAATCATCCCATCTCTAGGATTCTATGTACACTACCCCAAAGAATATAAGTCCTCGCTGAAAAACTCCCCTTTTTTGGCAGTGACCCAGCCACAGACAGCAAACTCCTGTGCTGTGTGACTCTTGCTCTCCTGGGACTAAGCAAGTCCTGGGCACAGATGGGAAAGCCCTTCGGGGTCTGCCAGGCCCCAGCCACAAGCCTTTCCACGTAGGGTTACCTCAGCCTCCTCCTTGTCTCTGATTTCTGATTCTACATCCTTTCTCACTATCATGTGATTGTAGGAATTACCCACCAAGGTTACATTAGATATAGAGTCACAGAAATAGGGAAGCCTCACTCTGAGATACAACCTATACATGAAATAAGAGTGTGCAGATAATGACAAGCTATAAGTTTTGCACTAAATCAGCATTTCCCTATTTGGTAGGTGTTAAGACCTCCTGGATGAGATGGGACTTTTTCCTGCGACCCTGGAGGCATCAGGCACGTGTTCTCTGAGTGGCTGTCTCGTCCACAATGCTGATGAGCCTCCTCACTTCTTCACAGGAAGCACAGCCACAGGGCTGACATGGTCCAGGGCTCTGTGACTTTCTCCAAAACAAAGGGAGGGAGCCTCCCCCTGAGTGTGGATGGCAGAGCTGCCATCAGTTGGTGAACTGTGGGAAAAGTAAAACAATTCTTCCAATTCCACTGACCCTGACCTTGAGACTTTGAAGATTTTCTGGACTTCAGGTGGTTCTTTCAAACGAGAAGATCACTGTGGACTGACATCCAATTATCCAGAGAGGGAAAGAGAAAAACTGCTAAAGGTATTTGGAGGCAAATTCCGAGCTGTCAAGTCACAAAAGTGTAAGGACTGCCAGGAGATTTCCTAGTCTACAGAAATGCTGTAGTCTACAGAAATGAAAAGTTGTAACAACAGATAAATAGGGAATTGTATCATTTTTCATAGAGGAACAAATTTACTTTCTAAACTGCTGGCAGAAATCATGTATACTTACAAGATTTCTTTTAAAAACAGGCTTGCAAATCCTTCCCATGCTGATCCTTCCTATTCAACTTTGTACATATTACCTATTGGTTCTGTGGGGAAGGGGTGGGGCAGGTCAGCTCTGCAGCTCAAACATTTGTCAAAGGCAGTGACATCACAGAGTTACTGAGCCCAAGTTCAACTTCTCCAAAACAGAACTGGGAGACATGAGGTTCTGCCCTGGACCTGAAATGGTCACAAGGCTCTTCTTCTGTGTGGCTTTTTGTCTCCTGTGGGCAGGTGAGTACATGTGGGCTCTCTTCCCTGGGAGCCCCAAGACCTCAGCACAAGCCTTCCTGTTGGGGGTGACACCTGTCTCTGTCACTCTATTACAGGGCATGTGGATGCTGGAGTCACCCAAAGCCCAAGATACAAGGTCACAGGGACAGGAGACAGAGTGGTTCTGAGATGTCACCAGACTGAGAACTATGACTATATGTACTGTTATCGACAAGACCTAGGCCACTGGCTGAGGCTGATCCATTATTCATATGGCATTAACAACACTGAGAAAGGAGAAGTCCCCGATGGGTACGACGTCTCTAGATTAAATACAGAGGATTTCCTCCTCACTCTGGAGTCCCCTACCCGCTCCCAGACATCTGTGTACTTCTGTGCCTACAGTGACTCCACAGCGCTGCACAACAGCCTACTCCCCACACATAAAGGGTCGTTAGAAAGATTGAGGTTGCCCTGCGTGGCGATGCCTGCTCCAGACCCCAGGAAGCCCAGCCTCCGGTGCTCACAGGGCTCCTGCCACCACGCGCCTCACAGCAGGGGGCAATATGCCCTCGGCGCCCAAGTCTGCCCCCTGCACCAGCCTCAGCCGGATGGAGGTCACCCAACATGCTTCCCTTGTCTGCGGGTCTCTCTGCTTGCAGAAAGGAAAATGCGTCTTTATTAAGATACATGAAGATTCCTTTGATAGTGTCAAAGCCCCCCCTTTCCTCTCGCCCCCTGTGGGCTTCGGTGCCTCCATCATCTGCTTTGTCCTCCCTCCTCCCCTGCTCTCCAATTTAGGACACAAATCTCGGCTCCCATGGTCTCTACTCCCGGCTGCCTTGCGTCTTCAGGGCAGCAGCCCTGCACAGGCCTGTGGCACCTTGCTCAAGACCCCTGGCTTTCTCAGCCCGGCCACACCCATCCACGTGTGCCACGTCCTTTTCCACCCAGAAACATTTTCCACTGGCTGTTTCTTCTGCACCAACACATGTCCCCCCTCTCTTACCTCTAGATTTCAACTTCATTCCTCACATGAAAATACATTTCAGGTATACTTACTCTTAATTATGTAAAGTAAAACAAATTTTACTAGAGGATATTAATTTTTATTTCTTTTTAGGAAAACATTTTTAGGCATTTATTTGAAGAAGGGATTTTTTTCAGGCAGAGCCACAACAAAAACCACCAAAATATGTTGCAATTTCAGTTGCATAAAATTAAACTCTTATACAACAAAACACACCATAAAATGAAAAGGTAAGCCACAGACTGGGGACAGGCATGAGGAACACAAACAAATGATAAAGAATCAGTGGGACGAGACCATGCCGGCCAAGTCCCCGTGGCTCCTCTGTGGCTTCCGGCCTCACTTGCAGTTGGGGCATTGGGAACTGTGACCAGGTTTTGTACAGTGGAAAGTGCGTAAAAATTATGTAAGTCATTTCCAAGCCTTTCCCCTTAAAATATGGTGTGGCCTTGTGTTGGGGGCCTCCAAGTACACTCCCATGTCTGGAGACTCACTAAAAGGACCCACAGGATAGGGCACATAGTTGTAAGATTTTTTGGTGACACAATAAATACTCAGGGGCAGATCATAAGGGAGAAAGATACACGTAGAGTCTGGAGGAATCCATGTGCAGGCGTCCTTGTACTGTCTCCCACCCAGCAGGGGGCGCACCGAGCGCACGCATCCCCCAGGACAGAAACGCAGCACCGTGGGTAGGATCTTTCTGTCAAGGGAACCCACTAGGGAGTTAGTGCCCAAATCGGGCTGGTCACATAGCCACCCACTGCCTACCACATACTAGTCATCTAGTCTCCAGGAAGGAAATCTGGTGTTCAGCATAAACTATGTCGTTTGCACTAAGAGCCTAGGCACAGTGAGCCGCATTTCATTAGGGAAACTTTCTATCAGTGTAGGCAACTTCTTACCAGCCAAGTTCCAGGTGCTGGCCGGGGGCCACGCTTGCAAGCAGGGCTTTCTGAGCCAGCCCACTTTCACTACTCCTTACAGACCACCTGAGCAGCCTGCCTCGCTGGGTCATAGCTTGGTGGACAGCCACCAAGAAAGCTGCTCTACTCTGAACTTCGCAGTCACAAAAAATAGAACTTTACAGAGTTAAGCCACTGGGATTTTAGGGTTTGTTTTGCTTGGTTTTCTCTGGCATTGCTGACCTTGTCTAGTAGAGTTGGTGTCAGAAGGAATAAAGAATTCTCATTACTTAATAAGAAAAAGACAACACAATAAAGATGGCAATATTTAATCTAGGCAGTTCACAGAAGAGTAAATGTGAATTACCACTAAAAATGTGAACAGAGTCACAATTTTACTTGGTAACCTTGACATGTAAGCCCTAGGTTTTTGAGGCTTGCTGGAATATCTCTGAACACATGGAGGTACTGTTTCTATTTCTCTGGAAACACATTTCCTTGGTTTATCCTTTCATACCAACTCTCAGAGGGATATTTTCCAATCTTTTAACCGTTCCTGCCATCCCACTCAGACAATGAAAGCAAGTATGTTTATAACTAACGTTGCGCCATGAAAAAATCCAGTGCTGAAATGCAAGTTAAGCTAGAAGTGTAAGTTTTTTAAGATGCCAGAGGTCTGTTCGATTTTGTACTTATTGTTACCATGTCCACTGTGGTATGTTTAGGGATAAGGGAGTTCTCCGCTGTTCCCAGGTAAGACCTGACATATTACACCAATGACCTAGCATGCAGGCAGCGTGGTGACAAACTGTGGTATGCGATGCATCACAGAGGTGGGGAAAGAAAAGAGGAAACTGGCCTTGACCTTCAGACAGAATGAAAGCTTCCGACTCAAATCTGTACTCAGGGCATCATTTGATCCCTTGAACTCTGAGCGTGTCAGTTAGTTCAATGTGCTTCTAGGATAAAGCTTCTAGGACAATTACCCCAGCTTCCACCCTGTCTAAACTCATGTGACTGGAAGAATGGGGAACCTCTTAAGAGAGAAATGTCCAAAGAGAAGGATAGTTACAGATACACAAGGAGGTCTTTAATTGACATTTCAGATTTGCTTTGCCTTTGACATATCCCAGTGGAAACATCCAGCAGAGAGTAGAGGGTGGGGCTGGGGCTGTGGAGACATAGTGGGGAGTCCCTCACTCAGGCCCTGGAGCCATGAGTGAAGCCACTAGGATGAACTTACACACAGTCTCTGTATGTGTCAAGCATCTAGGTATGTTGTAATTTATAACAATTGGTTCTTAACACTGCGGGTGTTTGCAGATACAGTAATATCGCCACAGGAACTGTCTTGTGGGGACAAAGGGACTTCCCTCCTCCTCTGCTCATGCTCACAAGGACCCTGACCTGGTGAACCCCCATCTTTGTCCTGACCCAGCCATAGGCACCAGGCGCCTCCCCTGGGTGACCCTGTGTCTCCTGGGGGCAGGCGAGTCCTAAGAACAGTAAGATCTTTGCATCTTACCTTTCTAGTGATTATTCCAATCTCTTCCTTTCTCCATTTTCAAATTCTTTTTCCCCAACAGAACTCACAGAAGGTGGAGTCACTCAGTCCTCTAGACATAAGATCACAGAAAACAGACAAGCTGTGGCTTTGTGGTGTGATCCTATTTCTGGCCATGGTACCCTTTCCTGGTATCGCCAGGCCCTGTGACAGGGCCTGGAGCTTCTGATTCACTTTGAGGATGAGGCTGTATTTGATAATTCACAGTTGCCTAAGAATCGCTTTTCTACAGAGAGACCCAAAGGAAGAGACTCTCCTCTCAAGAACCAGCCTGCTGAGCGGGAGACTCTGCTGTGTATTTCTGTACCAGCAGTTCAACCACAGCACTGCAGAGGTATTTCCTTCCTGTGTGTAAAACATTCAATTCTAGGCAGCTCACAGCAGCTTTAGACAGGGCCTTTCCCTTATTCCATTGTTTGAACATGATGACTCGGATTAGAAGCACTTCTTGGACAGCTCAAGGACCCAGGATGGAAAGTGACTTATCACATACTCAGCCCTCAGGGTTGAGTATGGTTGTTCTCCTAGAAAAATATGCAATCACAAAACATATACAATAAACTCTGTGGCTGTTATCACCGCCTAAATGATTTGAATTGACATCTTTTGTTCCCCAACTTCTTCTCTGCCTTTACTCAGGAAGTTTCCTGAATCAAAGTCTCAACACATAATATGTGTATGGAAAATGTTTTTCTCTGCTTTTGTAGAAATGGGTTGATAATAATGATGTTGTTAATGATAAGTTCAGCTTTTACATTCAGTCCTTTTCCAATTTCCAAGGAAGTCACACAAATGGACATCATGACAAACCAATCCCAAATCTTAGCTCAAAGCTAATTCTTTCCCCAGAGTGGTCTGACTCTTCAGTGTGACCAGCACAGCTCAGCACAACTAGGCTTGAACCAGCCAGTTCCAAGGCTATTGAGGATATTCCATGTCTGCGCTAAAATAGTTCCCTAAAATATTCTTTAGTAAGACCTTCTGAAACAGCCAGTTGCCCCTGATCCAATCATTCCCTCTGATTAACACCCCATTTAACACGCTATGTGGAGGTCCATACCCTCTTCTTGAGCTTCTTCCTGGATTCTCTAAGCTAATACTAGGAATCAGCCTGAAGTGTTGGTTGCAGCTATTTGAGAGGTTGCTGCTTGCTGCGAAGGGAAGCAGCTTGCTGAGAGTCCCATGCAAGCATCGCTCACCACTGCCCCGCAGCCCCTGCCCGCTTCACTTCCTCTCTTGTCCCAGAGACTGCAAGTCATAATCTGTGCCCATTGACTCACTGCAAATCTCCTCAGCTCCTCTGTCCGTATCTCCACCCAATTTACTTGTCTGACAAAAACCTAGGTCGTTGATGAACACAACTGTCCACGATCTCCTTGCCAGAATGCTTATTTGGTTCTCCTTCCAATCTGCTGTTGTAATTTACAGTTACTACTTCCCCAATAACATTTTACAAGATTGTCTTTCATCTCTTAAAACATGGGAAACATAGTTGCTTCAGAGTCTGATAATTTTCACATCTGAGATCTTTGTGGAGCTCTTTGTTGGTTTTCTGCAGCTTCTCACATCTGCGCTGTTCCTGCTCTGGCCACCAGGAGGCACTATGGCCTCGTCGTCATCCAGAGCCTGTGGAGGAACTGAGCAAACTCCCTGAAAGAGATTAAGGGAAACCGTGGGGTTGGGTTTGTATTTAGGCAGCTGCATTTAGGACGTCTTGAATGATGAGGCTGAGAATGAAGGACCTAGACACCAATCCTCTGTCCCCCAGTGCTGCGGAGGTGGGTTTTGCTCGGAACTGCGCTCCGAATGGCAGTGTGTCTGCAGGGGGCATCCCTCTGGGTTTGCATGACAGGTGGCGGCGCAGGAGCTGAGGCGGTGCAGCTTGAGCGTTCTGGCCTGGGAAAAGCGGAGACGCAGTTTGAGTGTCAGAGGGGACCTAGCGAGCCTGACCCAACCCAGCCCCGCCAGGCCACCTGCACTGAGGTGCCCTAGAGGGCGGAGCAGGGAGCAGGCCTGGGCCACAGCTGAGGGACCCTGGCCACAGGGAGGACGATCACAGTCACTTCAGGAGCGGAATCCACTTAACACGCATCCCCCAGGACAGAAACGCAGCACCGTGGGTAGGATCTTTCTGTCAAGGGAACCCACTAGGGAGTTAGTGCCCAAATCGGGCTGGTCACATAGCCACCCACTGCCTACCACATACTAGTCATCTAGTCTCCAGGAAGGAAATCTGGTGTTCAGCATAAACTATGTCGTTTGCACTAAGAGCCTAGGCACAGTGAGCCGCATTTCATTAGGGAAACTTTCTATCAGTGTAGGCAACTTCTTACCAGCCAAGTTCCAGGTGCTGGCCGGGGGCCACGCTTGCAAGCAGGGCTTTCTGAGCCAGCCCACTTTCACTACTCCTTACAGACCACCTGAGCAGCCTGCCTCGCTGGGTCATAGCTTGGTGGACAGCCACCAAGAAAGCTGCTCTACTCTGAACTTCGCAGTCACAAAAAATAGAACTTTACAGAGTTAAGCCACTGGGATTTTAGGGTTTGTTTTGCTTGGTTTTCTCTGGCATTGCTGACCTTGTCTAGTAGAGTTGGTGTCAGAAGGAATAAAGAATTCTCATTACTTAATAAGAAAAAGACAACACAATAAAGATGGCAATATTTAATCTAGGCAGTTCACAGAAGAGTAAATGTGAATTACCACTAAAAATGTGAACAGAGTCACAATTTTACTTGGTAACCTTGACATGTAAGCCCTAGGTTTTTGAGGCTTGCTGGAATATCTCTGAACACATGGAGGTACTGTTTCTATTTCTCTGGAAACACATTTCCTTGGTTTATCCTTTCATACCAACTCTCAGAGGGATATTTTCCAATCTTTTAACCGTTCCTGCCATCCCACTCAGACAATGAAAGCAAGTATGTTTATAACTAACGTTGCGCCATGAAAAAATCCAGTGCTGAAATGCAAGTTAAGCTAGAAGTGTAAGTTTTTTAAGATGCCAGAGGTCTGTTCGATTTTGTACTTATTGTTACCATGTCCACTGTGGTATGTTTAGGGATAAGGGAGTTCTCCGCTGTTCCCAGGTAAGACCTGACATATTACACCAATGACCTAGCATGCAGGCAGCGTGGTGACAAACTGTGGTATGCGATGCATCACAGAGGTGGGGAAAGAAAAGAGGAAACTGGCCTTGACCTTCAGACAGAATGAAAGCTTCCGACTCAAATCTGTACTCAGGGCATCATTTGATCCCTTGAACTCTGAGCGTGTCAGTTAGTTCAATGTGCTTCTAGGATAAAGCTTCTAGGACAATTACCCCAGCTTCCACCCTGTCTAAACTCATGTGACTGGAAGAATGGGGAACCTCTTAAGAGAGAAATGTCCAAAGAGAAGGATAGTTACAGATACACAAGGAGGTCTTTAATTGACATTTCAGATTTGCTTTGCCTTTGACATATCCCAGTGGAAACATCCAGCAGAGAGTAGAGGGTGGGGCTGGGGCTGTGGAGACATAGTGGGGAGTCCCTCACTCAGGCCCTGGAGCCATGAGTGAAGCCACTAGGATGAACTTACACACAGTCTCTGTATGTGTCAAGCATCTAGGTATGTTGTAATTTATAACAATTGGTTCTTAACACTGCGGGTGTTTGCAGATACAGTAATATCGCCACAGGAACTGTCTTGTGGGGACAAAGGGACTTCCCTCCTCCTCTGCTCATGCTCACAAGGACCCTGACCTGGTGAACCCCCATCTTTGTCCTGACCCAGCCATAGGCACCAGGCGCCTCCCCTGGGTGACCCTGTGTCTCCTGGGGGCAGGCGAGTCCTAAGAACAGTAAGATCTTTGCATCTTACCTTTCTAGTGATTATTCCAATCTCTTCCTTTCTCCATTTTCAAATTCTTTTTCCCCAACAGAACTCACAGAAGGTGGAGTCACTCAGTCCTCTAGACATAAGATCACAGAAAACAGACAAGCTGTGGCTTTGTGGTGTGATCCTATTTCTGGCCATGGTACCCTTTCCTGGTATCGCCAGGCCCTGTGACAGGGCCTGGAGCTTCTGATTCACTTTGAGGATGAGGCTGTATTTGATAATTCACAGTTGCCTAAGAATCGCTTTTCTACAGAGAGACCCAAAGGAAGAGACTCTCCTCTCAAGAACCAGCCTGCTGAGCGGGAGACTCTGCTGTGTATTTCTGTACCAGCAGTTCAACCACAGCACTGCAGAGGTATTTCCTTCCTGTGTGTAAAACATTCAATTCTAGGCAGCTCACAGCAGCTTTAGACAGGGCCTTTCCCTTATTCCATTGTTTGAACATGATGACTCGGATTAGAAGCACTTCTTGGACAGCTCAAGGACCCAGGATGGAAAGTGACTTATCACATACTCAGCCCTCAGGGTTGAGTATGGTTGTTCTCCTAGAAAAATATGCAATCACAAAACATATACAATAAACTCTGTGGCTGTTATCACCGCCTAAATGATTTGAATTGACATCTTTTGTTCCCCAACTTCTTCTCTGCCTTTACTCAGGAAGTTTCCTGAATCAAAGTCTCAACACATAATATGTGTATGGAAAATGTTTTTCTCTGCTTTTGTAGAAATGGGTTGATAATAATGATGTTGTTAATGATAAGTTCAGCTTTTACATTCAGTCCTTTTCCAATTTCCAAGGAAGTCACACAAATGGACATCATGACAAACCAATCCCAAATCTTAGCTCAAAGCTAATTCTTTCCCCAGAGTGGTCTGACTCTTCAGTGTGACCAGCACAGCTCAGCACAACTAGGCTTGAACCAGCCAGTTCCAAGGCTATTGAGGATATTCCATGTCTGCGCTAAAATAGTTCCCTAAAATATTCTTTAGTAAGAACTTCTGAAACAGCCAGTTGCCCCTGATCCAATCATTCCCTCTGATTAACACCCCATTTAACACGCTATGTGGAGGTCCATACCCTCTTCTTGAGCTTCTGCCTGGATTCTCTAAGCTAATACTAGGAATCAGCCTGAAGTGTTGGTTGCAGCTATTTGAGAGGTTGCTGCTTGCTGCGAAGGGAAGCAGCTTGCTGAGAGTCCCATGCAAGCATCGCTCACCACTGCCCCGCAGCCCCTGCCCGCTTCACTTCCTCTCTTGTCCCAGAGACTGCAAGTCATAATCTGTGCCCATTGACTCACTGCAAATCTCCTCAGCTCCTCTGTCCGTATCTCCACCCAATTTACTTGTCTGACAAAAACCTAGGTCGTTGATGAACACAACTGTCCACGATCTCCTTGCCAGAATGCTTATTTGGTTCTCCTTCCAATCTGCTGTTGTAATTTACAGTTACTACTTCCCCAATAACATTTTACAAGATTGTCTTTCATCTCTTAAAACATGGGAAACATAGTTGCTTCAGAGTCTGATAATTTTCACATCTGAGATCTTTGTGGAGCTCTTTGTTGGTTTTCTGCAGCTTCTCACATCTGCGCTGTTCCTGCTCTGGCCACCAGGAGGCACTATGGCCTCGTCGTCATCCAGAGCCTGTGGAGGAACTGAGCAAACTCCCTGAAAGAGATTAAGGGAAACCGTGGGGTTGGGTTTGTATTTAGGCAGCTGCATTTAGGACGTCTTGAATGATGAGGCTGAGAATGAAGGACCTAGACACCAATCCTCTGTCCCCCAGTGCTGCGGAGGTGGGTTTTGCTCGGAACTGCGCTCCGAATGGCAGTGTGTCTGCAGGGGGCATCCCTCTGGGTTTGCATGACAGGTGGCGGCGCAGGAGCTGAGGCGGTGCAGCTTGAGCGTTCTGGCCTGGGAAAAGCGGAGACGCAGTTTGAGTGTCAGAGGGGACCTAGCGAGCCTGACCCAACCCAGCCCCGCCAGGCCACCTGCACTGAGGTGCCCTAGAGGGCGGAGCAGGGAGCAGGCCTGGGCCACAGCTGAGGGACCCTGGCCACAGGGAGGACGATCACAGTCACTTCAGGAACGGAATCCACTTACCAGGCAGGGTCTGCGTGGACCAGAACAACAGGATTTCCTCCCGAGAACTTCTGCCCTTGGCGGGAAGAGGGCCCCAAGGAGTTCGCCTTTGCCGTTCACTCCAGATTCCCATGTGTCCTTTGGAAGCAGATGAGGTCTGGGCAGAGATAAGCTTTGTGCCTGGGCTTCCCTTGCCCTGATTTCAAGTTCCTTCTATGTGATGGTGCCTCAGTTTCCCCACTGCATCTTGTGTCTACCCACTGCATTTTTCACCATGAGCCTCATACCTACTGTAACCGATTTGATTCCTATTGCTGCTCTAACAAATTACCATGCATTGTGTGGCTTAAAACAGTACAAAATGTATTATCTTCCAGCCGTGAAGGTCAGAAGTCCAGCCTGGCTCTAACGGGGTTACAATGAAGGTGTCAGCAGGGCTGGGTTCCTTGTAGGGGCTCCGGCGCGCATGGGTGTCCTTGGGTTTGCAGCCCCTCGTGGCCCCTCCCCTCTTCCAAGTCAGCGATGACGGGTTTTTTCTCCCACTCCGTCCCTCTGCTTCTGACTCCTCGTCTTTCTCCCACACGGCGGGACCCATCTGGAAAATGCAGGACACTCCCTCTATATTAAGGTCCACTGATAAGCAGCCATTTGGAACCTTAATTTCCCCTTGTTATGTAACATGTCCACAATTCCGGGGTCAGACATGGCATCTTTGGGGGGCCATCATTCTGCCCACAATGCCTAGGCACCTACAGGGAAGGGGCCAACAATGATCTTTTTGAAAACAGAATAATGGCCACAGTTTTAAGTTTTGGATCCAACAGAAACCAAGGGGACAGACCCCACAAGGGAAAAGGGTGCCTCGGGTAACACAGTTCAGCCTGTAAGCCACCTGCTCTTTAAAACTGGCCTGTGCTCCTCAGGTTGAGGGGGCTCAGCACTGTGTCTCTGTGCTGGCCCCAGAATATGGGCTTGAGCCGGTCCTTGCTGGCTAGCAAATCACAGAGTTGGCCAGCCCAATGAACAGAGGCTTCTCTCAGCTCTCCATAACCACTCTGAGAGGAATGTGTGTGTGGCATCTGGCCCCGTGTACAGGGCCAAGGCCAAATGCGATCAATTTTAAAACAGTCAGCTTTTCTAGGGGTAAGAATAAGATTTACCCCAACTCTAGAGATTTTTATTTGTAAATCCTCAAGAACAACAAGACCCTCTGCTTATCTCATGGTGGGGATAGAGAAAAGTGGATTCTCTGCTAGGGGCTTGGAAAAAGAGCTCAAGGTTAAGTAATCTCAAAGAGGTCTTTCTGCAAATGAGTTTTCAAACTGAAACAGCCCCCAGGGCATCAGTTGGCCCCGGAAGCCCTAGCCATGCAGCTGATAGTTCTTGCTTTTCCTGGAGAGCTCAGAGCCCAGAAGCTACCTGCCTGATGGATGATGCTGGGTGTGGTATGACCAGAAGCACCTAGCACCAGGGAGAAGAGTGAGAGCTCACAGGCAGGCTGGCTTGCAGTGAAATGACAAATTCATCTTTAACTACTTGGAGTTTGAGGGCCAAACGGAAATACTTGACAAACTAGGTAAGAGACAATATAGAGAAGGCATTAGGAATCGATAATACCAATGCAAAGCTGCAGGGACTCCCCTCACTTGTGTAAATCTGTATCTCAGATCAATTATAACAGAGCTCAGTCTGCCCAATTCCCCTGCCAGGGATGCAACCTCCTCCTCCAGAGGGCGCTCCTGGAGTTGGGGGCGGTGGGACATAGTCATTCAGTGATGTCACTGACAGACACATCTTGTGGGGATAAAATGTCTCCAAACACACTTCTCTGCTCATGCTCATGCGGGCCCCGGTCTCGAATGGCCCACATCTGCCCCGCCCCGCCATGGGCAGCCTGGCTCTCTGCTGCGGGATCCTTTTATTCCTGGGGATAGGTGAGTCCCCAGAATATTTAGCATCCTCATTCTGGGTCTCCCTGTTGTGACTCCAAAATTTTTCTTACTCTGTCTTTAAACTCGGTCCCTTTCTACAGAGTCCAAGGATGCTACAGTCTCCCAGACACCCAGGCACAGGGTGACAAAGACGGGACAAGCAGTAACTCTGAGATGTGAGCCAATTCCTGGCCACACCACCCTTTTCTGGTACAGACAGACCTCCATGCAGGGACCGCAGTCCCTGATTTACTTTACCAATCAAGTACCTATAGATAAGACAGGGATGCCCAAGGACCGATTCTCAGCTGAGATGCCCAGTGGGTCACTCTCCAACCTGAAGATCCAGCCTGCAGAACCTGGGGACTCAGCCATGTACCTGTGTGCCAGCAGTGTGGGCACAGCGCTGCAGAGCCACGCCCTCCCTGTGCAGAAACCCCAGCTTCCCCTTCTGGCCTCACCCCCAGCCATTCTGAGGAAAGGTTTTCTCTGCTCTTCCTTTACCACAAATGGGTGGGTTTCAGGCATGACCAGGTCAGAAAAATGATAAAATATCAACATAGGAAATCTTGATTAAGAAAGAATGTAGGAAATGGGTTTCAGGGATGCCTCACAAACTGTCTGTGTGCTCAAAGCTCAGCACGCATGTAGGATAAACCTTACCCACACTGGAGGTGTCCCCACCTTCCTGCATTTACCATGCTCACCGAATGGCAGGAGAATGGCTATGGCTTCAGAATCACTCAGTCCGTGCCTTTTTTTGTAACTCTAAGCATTTCACAGAATTTCACTGGACATGTTTTCCTGATTGTAATAAAAACCTCTTTATTCTGATTATGGACATTTCTTTAGAATGTTAATATAACTTCATATTTACGTGGAGCTTTTTCATTACACTCAAACAGTGTCTCAAACATGGATAAAGTAGACAGTTTAATGCATGAGATCTAAGTCCCCACTCCTGGAATCTTGGGATTTACATGTCTGTGTCCTGCCCAGAAAGTGCCCAGGCCTGACTGAGAAGAGATGACAGAGGCCAGGCGTGTGGAGACTGCCAGCATGATGCTGAGTCTCTGCAGCTGCCTGCTGGGACAGTCACACTGGGATATCGGGAAGTGTGCAAACCTGGCCAGTTTTACTTTGTCCTCTTTCCTCCCTTATCACACACCCTTAACAGTCAAACCTACACTCTACTTCTAATTTATGCTGGAGATTTCCACATAACACCTGAAATCCATTCTGAATGGTTATATTACTCTCTTCTATGGTCTTATTTTACGTACTGATTCCTTCTCAGCCCTAATTACCTTTGGCAGCAGCTGCAAAAGATGCTGTATTTGGAGTGAACGAGGCGATTCAGGTTTCCATGAGTTCTGCCATAGAACCGGATTCCGTGTGTCATTCATTAGCCTACTTTTTGCCATTCAGGGGTCCCGACTTTCAAGCTGGAGACAGTGAAGGATGACATTCAGTTTCTACCGTGTTTATAGCAAGAGACATAATGCGCTTCCGAGGCCCCCTCCCTGCTTTGTACCCGGCTCCTTTCCGCAGCCCGCACGAGCGTACCACCCTTCATCGTCCTACTCGCTTCTTCCCACCAGCGCTCTCCTCCCCAGTCTCCTCTCGTCCCGCCTGCCAATCCTGTCATCGTCTGTGGTGACTCCATCATCACGCGGACCATCTGTACGTCCACTGAACACGTCACCATGGACAAAATGACCTCATCTGTCATTTCAACTTTCTCATCTTTGAAACAGGAATAATGATTATAAATGCCTCATGGTAGTTTTAAAAAATAAAGTAAGCCATGAAAAGCACTTACAAGCTTTCAACACATAGAGCCATTTAGTTTGATTGTCGTTTTAAATGAAATCCATATGTAGTAAGTGTAAAAGCAAAAGGGGAAAATAGACTCAGCAACCTCGGCACAATGGTTACATTACAGAGGGGAAAAAAGGACCAGGGAGGGATGGAAAGAGGGGCTTAACTTCATTTGCTATATTTTTTCTATTTAAATAATCTAAAACTAAGTGGCCAAATATTGAAATCTGTTCAAAAAAGTAATTAGAGATGTACTGTTTTAGGGGTCGAAGACACCATGGTCTCTGCATTTCCTGCTCATGTGTTAAATCTTATGAATGCTTTCTGGTGTCCCCGAGTCACTCCCAGATGTGGTACTTTTTACTGAGGCAAATTCACCAATCCTTGGCCATTCTTGGCCATAGAACTTCAACAACAGTCCTTCCCCCCAAGTGTAATAGAGATCTAATTGCTTCACATGTAAGGACATGTCCTTTTAATCTTCCCATTAGATTATTCAAATTACATATTAATAGCATGCAATAGATTCAATGGGGGTTAGTGACAGAGACCTAGGCCCACCCCTGCCCCTCATTTCGAGTGCAGAATATGTGTTTTGAATGGCACAGCTGCAGGCTCTGGCTCTCCACTATACAGAGAGCTCTAAAATGGCAGCTACTCTGGTCTGCATGTCTTTGAGATCCTGGTTGATGACCCTCCCATTCACTGGTAAGGGATTAAAAATACAAGATCAGGTGTGATACTGAGTCTTTCAGACAATGAGGAGGGAGTGAACTATCAGTAACAGGTGAGTTCCCAGGCAGAAGTAATTTATTGCATGTGATAGCAAGCATAATTAGCCAGAGCCTCTCTTGAAAAAAAAAATAATGAGGAGGACCCTCAAGGAGAGAGAAATTAAGTCATATGCATGCGAAAGATCCAAAATCAATCAATATAATCATTGACAAAGGCTTAGAGGTCAATTAAAAGAACACTTGTGCCTGAAACAATATGTCATAGGGAATTTAATGTGCTAAGAAGATGATGAAACATCACAGTGGTTTGAGGTCATCCTTTTACCATCAAGCTAGGAACAAAGGAAGAATATTTATAGTTAGGAAGTTCTTATACGGTTCTTACTATGTGTTGGGTATCACACAAGAGGTGAGAACATTCAGTTTAGCACTCCATTTTATAGAAGGGGAAACTGAAGGAAAAAAAAAATATATGTAATTTTCCAAAAATCATATAGCTAATAAATGGTGAAATGGGGATCCCAACAGAAGCAATTTGGGATCAGATTCTTCTTGGCTATTTACAAACCATTGCACACAAAATAAAAAATACAGACTCACTAAACTGGAGGAAAGAAAGATTTCCTTGGAAGTGCTAAGATCTTAGAACACTTAGTATTCTCATGAGAAAAGGAGGTCCTTAAGAACAGGAAAGAGAGACGTAAAGCAAAGGGGGAAAGCATGTGGGTTTAAGTGCTCTCAGAGGAGTCATTAGAAAAGGGGGGAATGTTTTCTTAGCTGTTACTAAGGCAGGTGAGATAACCGGTCCAAAGAAACCTAAGAGAGAAAAATGCAGGATCTCAGAGCATACACTAGAATGAGTATAATGGCTTTCAAAATCATACCCGTATGAAGCGTGGGTTATAGTCTGGACAGTCTGACAGGGGATGCCTGGACAGAGCAATTGAAAATGCTCAAATTATTACATGAGCATCAGCTATAGCTTATGCCTGGAAAGGGCATGCCTATTAAATATAAAATATACAAATACATTCTAAATATATTACAAATATATTTACTAAGTTAGGTGTCTTAGGAAAAACTTAGGAAAATGGGGTCCATTAAAAGGCAGGCAAGCGATACAATGAGAAGGCCTTGTAGATGGACTTGCTCAACAGAGGAAACTGAAGATATGTAATGGTGCTTGTTTAGATATGAAATTAACAGTGTCTTACTAGGGAAGATCACAGAGAATAAATCTAGAAGAATACATCAGAAAGATAAATGACTTGGGCCAGGGTACAAACATAAAATTAAAGGTCTTCAATTCTGGTGATTATTGCTAACACTGCTGTGTTTGAGAAGGAACAGGATGAATTTTAAGAGCATTTTAAACTTTTGGAAATTCAACTTAATCTTTCTTAAAGCATTAGGTAATAGCAGAGGAGAATAAAATGATTAGAATTTGTATCATTCTTATGGCGATAAAAAGCTGTAATGGAAATAAATACTATTCAAGGCCTGGCACATTCCAGATTGGAGAAAACAGAATGAGTTAATGAGAGAAAAAAAGAGAAACGACTGAGTTTGGTCTTTCCTAGGCCCTTACAAGGCATTTGCAAGTAGAAGTAGTACAATTTCAAATTCAGGGCAGCTCTGGGTGTTGGCATTTTATTATTGGTGGTTCATTGTGATATCATTTAATTGTGCCATTAATCCTCTTTTTTGTCATAATGCGAAACATGGTGAGCCAGACTGGGGAGGAAAAGGAGAATGGAAAGCTACTTCTCAGTCTTTCAGTCAGTGTGGGCATGGAGTTATTTAATTACCATGCTGTTGGGAACCATTTCACGTCCTCTGAGGCCCAACCGACTTGCCCGGCTGTGGCTGCAGGCGTCCGTCTGACGGAGCAGCGGCACCGAGGTGGGGGGGGCGGGGAGGGGAGCAGAGCTGGCCTCACAGGTGGCTCATCTCTTGCTGATCAAAGCTAATGGTTGAGTACACAGTGGGGAGAGAATGCCCATCCTGAGAAACAGAGGACCAACATTTATTCCTCACTGTCTTTCGTGGGGGTGGTTCCCTGGCTGCTCCTGGCCCATCTCCCTTTCACCCACTTTTTCCTGTGGAACAACTGAATTACCTGATGAATGATTTTGGGAGAAGGGAACTGGGCAGGACCAGATCATACCCTCCTCCTCTGTCTTCTGTCTTCGCCCGTGGGCAAGATGCCTTCTTGCCTGCCTTAGGATTACAGTAAAATTAGTGAGCAGACTCTCTGCAGTAGGAAATCCTGGCTGCTCAGGAAAAGGGTCATCAGTGCAGATGGACATTCATTTCAGGGGGATGCCAGCTAGCCCACGTAGCTGCACCTTTCAGTTCCACCTTTACCAGCACTGACGCACCTTTTGGATTTCAGTTTATCTGACCTCAGTATCTCTTGTTGTCAATTTCAGAATCAGGTTCTTTTTAAACCCCTAAAACACCAACAATTATAGCTCGCCTTCATCGCTGGATGCATGTCACCCAGCATGGTTCACTTGGGGCCTGTTTCTAGCGACCCTGCCCACCAGGGTCTAGTGATTGGCCACCAGCAGGCGCAGTGGTTCCACTAAGACAGTGGCTGCAGGGAAGAGCTGAGATTGCTGCCTGGCAGTGGGGCTTAGAGAGAAGTTGGGCTTCGTCCCTGAGTCGTGAACCTGACTTGTGGACACTGAGCAAGTATTGGAGAGAGAAGGATTGGACCCAAAGACTTCTATGCCTTTGCAAATGGGTTAAGACCAAAAACGAGCATGGATTGCAGGCAAGCCTGGGATAGTTGCCACACAAAGGGGCCATTAATACACACAATGTTAGCACCATTCAGTCCAAATTAAAATAGTTCTCGTGTGTGTTGTGGGAAAAGTATGCAAATGAATAAGTAAAACAGCATGCATGGTTCTCTCTGCCCTCCACCCTCCAACCTGATTCTCCGTAACTCAGAGAAAGGTGTGTTTAGTGGTGGGTCATAGGTATATTGCAAAGATCGTGGCCACCATTCTAGCTGAGCAGGATGCTGGCCCTCAATGTTCCCATACTCACTGGGACCGAGGGCAGGGCTGGTACACCTCTGTGACTGCATAATAATGGAAGCCCTTCCTGGTCCAAGAAGTGGCCTTGCAAGGAAAGAGACTCTTGCTGTTCTGAAGTTATTACAGATCATTGAGCCAGCTCTCTGCTACATTACTGGAAAGACTTAGGAAATGAGCCCAGGCCATCTGTCTGTGCTCTCAATGAGGGTGTCCCTGAGCCTGTACAGGGTGTGGGGGACAGAGCTAGCTGGATTAAACGGTGGGCCTGATAGAGGGAGCACAAAGCAGCTGCTGTATCAGGGACGCCAAAGAAGCTGTGGGGTTGGGCGTCCACCTAAACCCAACCTGGTCCCATCCTACTGCTGTGGGGCGGCTTTTAAGGCCATGCCCTGAGGAGGACAGCCTATGCTCTACGGCAGAGGAGCCCTGAAGCCTCAGAAGTCCACAAATGCACTAACATCACCGGAAAAGGTTACCAGGGTCAAGAGTGACCTTACTTCTGATTTTCCTCTCCACTTCCATCAGAGCACCGAGGAAGGAGCTGGCCCACCCATGGGATGAACTGCTTTATGCTCATGACGTCTCTGTTTGATGACCTTTGCATCCAGGAGGAGATAAATCCTGGACACAAGTAGGGAAGTCCCCATCCTGGAACTCTGTGCCCGACTCAGAGTACTTCCCACGTGTCTCTCTTACTTTTGTGCCCCCTGAGCCCTGTGTCCCTCTCTGCCTCTTTCCCCCACCGGCTGCAGTATGTCAACCGGGAGCAGGTAAGCACCGGGCCAGAGAGTGAGCACTGCTGATTCTCTAGAGGGAGATCCACTGTGGGAGCTTCCGGGTAGCTGGCCACATCTTTCTGTCTCTCATCTTGACCTCTCCCCAGTTGGGAAGCTGGAACAATGTTTCTCTGTACCAACAGCAAAGACATGGAGCTAAGGTATTCCAGCTTCTCTATGGGCAGAAATCTTATTACTATCCCGAGAACCAGGTCACTTTTCAGGTTTTCATGCCCCCCACCAGAAAGAGTTAATTTGTGGATATTGCATGCCTCAGTAGAGGGAGAGAGTCGGGTGTTAATCACTTAAGGACTTTTAGAGCTTTGCTAGGAATAAGATTAGAATTACAGCCGGTGTTGGCAAAACTGGACAGCTACATGTAAGA